TTTACCTTTGTTTTTCTTGTAGACAGAGTTTCACTATGTTGCCCAGGCTGGTCTCAAACTCCTGAACTCAATGGACTCAAGTGCTCACCACCACCACATCCAGTTAAACTAAATTCTCTCTCTGCATATGCTAGGCTAGTGCTCTACCCCTTAGTAACAACACTAACACCAATTTTTATGTGTGTGATGCTGGGGATGAACCTAGGGCCTCACACATGCTCTTCCACGAAGCTACACCAGCAGTCTGTATTTTGCCTTTTATTTAAGCAAAGTGTTCCCCAGCACCACCACCACAACAAAAAAAATAGGTTGCATATGTCTTAAGCCTCTTGGTGCAGAGGTGCTTTATATAATATTCCTGCAGTGCCTAGCACAGTGCTGTGCCCATGATGAGTTCAAGAAAGATTTTAGAACTGAGACAGGCATGATGGTGCATGTCTGTACTCCCAGAAGTTAGGATGCTGAGGCAGGAGGATCACAAATTCAAGACCCACCTGAGTGAAAAAACAAAAAGAAAAAAACCAAAAACCAACCAACAGAAACTGAACTGGACTGGACTTCAAGGAACCGCTGAGATCACCTACATCACCTACTTCAACTCTCCTAATTTTTAAATGAGAAAATACAGCTTCCTAGGTCATTTATGAGCATACCTAAGTGGTGAAAACTGGGACCAGGACTGGTCTCTTCATCCCTTTGTCTACCTTTTGCTATCTTTCAAGTAATTACTTGAATTATGATTCATAAGACAGTATGTTTTTTCTTTATCTACAATCATCTAATGCGGGTCAGTAGGATTGCCCAAGTCCCTAGCAATCACTTGTTTATCAGATTTTAAAAGACAAGCAAAGAGAGAGAGAGAGAGAGAGAGAAATCAATTTATTCTTAAAGTAGTCAAAAAAATGTAGGGCCAAGGACAACATCAGAAAAGTAAAAAAGTCACTTCATTGCTTCCTCAGTTTCAAAATTATATTTAATGAAAGAAAATTAAATGTTTTTCCCCCCCAAAATATGGATGTTATAATCAGTTCAACTGACAAGGATTACATCTTTCCTTGCCTTCACTGTGCTTGATAGATAAATGTTTTTGGCTAATAGTCTTTTATGGACTAATGTCAATTCTACAGGGTCTCACAAATTACCTAAGATGAATTGTCTACTTATAAAAGTCAAATGCAATAGGTTCAGGAGGTGAGCTAACCTAACCTTTACTATTAACAAGATTTTATTTAAAATAGATCCTGTGGTGTCTTATTCACATGAAAACACAAGACCCTGCCACTAAAGTTAAAGGAGCAATTCTTTCCATTGTTTTCTCAAACCTGTGTTTTCACTGACCTAAGCTGCTGGGCCGCCCTCCCCTCCACCACCTTTTTTTATTCACTGAATTACATTTCAGGCAGTTTTAGAATCTGAAATCGTTCTGACAAATCCAAATCACTTAATATGAAGTGAACACACCATTTAATTACAAGTTATTAGGTAAACTGCAACTTATTAAGGCAAACCTTGGTTAATGCCAGAGTTCCTAAACTCAGCTTAGAAATAGCAGCTCTTAGAGATGATAGGTGTCAAGTTGCAAGCCTAGTTCCAGGGGCTTCAGTTTGACATTCCCTGATGTAAATTAGCCAGGGCAAGCAACCTGTCAGAAGAGCCAGAAGCTTTCTGTAGCTCCTTTTAGAATGGGACAACATGGCTCCCAGGTAAAGGGGGGGCCGTTTCTTAGACATGGCCAGAGTTTGAGGTCAAACTTTCACCTACCTTGGGGCTCAAGTCACTGTTAAGCAAATAAGACCCCAACCCCTCAGTATGGAGTCCAAATGAGTACGAACTGGCACTTTAGGGAAGGAAGACTGCTTGCGTGGGGTCTAGAAGGCTCTAAACCCTATACTCCATCCTTCCCAATCCTGCTCACCTGAGCTCATGGATCAGGGGAGCACTGGTAGATCTCTTCAGGGTGCTCCCATCAGATGTGTCAGGCTCAAAGTCCAGCTCCATTTTCTCCTGAGCCATGTCGGAGAGTGGCAGGCAGGCACAGCGGGCAGTGCTCAGCTCCTGGTGCTTAGCTATGGGCTCCCAAGACTCACTGCAGGACTGAGCTTCTGGGGACTGGCAGCTGGGGGCGGGGGCCAAGGGGCGGGACTTGGGCGCGAGGGGCGGGGGCTGGGGGCGGAGAAAAGTAGGAGGGAAAGAGGATGCTGATGAGGAAGAGAGGATGTGGTGGAGGGAAAGAAGGATGGACTGCTTGTGTTGGAGGGTGACAGAATGAAGAAAGAGAATGGAGGAAAGAAGAGGAGTGAAAACAAGGATGGAAGGAAGAAAGAAAAAGAGAAAGTGTGATGGAAAGAGGATCGATGGAAGTGCAGGACCGAGGATAAGGGGAGGAGAACAGGGTACAAGAGGAGGAGGAGGAAAATAGGTGAGGGGAAAGAGGAGTACAGAGACAGGAGAGAAGGACGGAGTGTGGGAGGAGAAAGGAGGGAGGACAGAGGAAGCAGAGAAGGAGAGGGAGGAAACTAGGCAGCGGCAGAATTCATGCTGCTCTTTCCCGCCAAAGACCACAGCGGGATCCGGCTACAGTTGCCACAGCTGCCAGGGCAGCGCTAGCATCAAGGACTTGATGGTAGGGTAGAACCCTGCCGGGAAGCCTCGGCAGCTCCAGCAACCCATGCTTGGGGACTCAGTCCAGCCCCTCATACTCCGGGTCCCGTCCCCGATGCTCCTCAGCCAGGAGATCGGTGCTTTTCCCGTCCCTGCCCCCCTCCCGCCTCAGGGAATGGTGGGGGGGGGTTCGACCCTTCTGCCGCCGCCGCAGTGCCTCCTCTTTCTATCTTGAGTTCTAATGGCCCGTGGGAACCCTTTGGGGCCAACACCAATTTCCACAACTTGCCGTTTCTTCAGCCACCTATGGCTCAGAAGCGGGAGCCTCCAACGAGCCAGTTCTTCCGCGTCTGGTCACCCACCCGGTGCTGCGCATGCGGCTGACAACCGCTCCAATGGGCCAGCGGGTACGGAGCATGCGCAGTAGCCCCGCCCCGCGACCCTCCTTGAAAGGGGAGGAGCGTTTCCAAGAGAGCCGGTGCTTTCCTCGATGGCATTGGCCCGGAAACCCTGGCGCCATAATTCGAAAAGAGCCAATGGTTTGGAAACTCTGAAGCACCAGCTTTCAGGAATTTGAACTAAATGTTCAAATGAAATACGGAGTGAGGTTTTTTCACGTTACTTAATTACCAATTTGTACACTCCCACTTTTGTGATTGCAGCTTGTTTCTTAAATGCCTCGATTTTGTTGGTCTTTATCTGGAGGGGCTCATTTCTTTTTCAAATCATCAATTGGATGCACGAGCCAAAAAATGTGTCTTTCTTTCTAGGGCTTACCGAAGGTCCTGCAAATCATGACTCAGTATGTGCGAGAGCTGGAATCAATCATTTAACAAACACCTACGTGGCACTTTCTACATGCTAGGGAGTACTCTAATAGAGGCAGAAATAGTAGCTCGTTTAATCCTCACCAGCTGAATAGCTGTAGGGCTGAAAAGGTCATTGCATTGTTTTAATAATTCATACCTCGAAAGTATGGGAAATATTACAGTTATAAAATTGGTTTCAAAATTTAGGAAGAGGTAAATTTTCAATTCATTTGTTCCATATTAAACTTGCCATACCAAACTGTCATATCTCAGCATTTATGCTTTGTGATTCTAACGAGGTTTCTTTTAAAAGCACTTTTGGATAGTTTCCTTTAAATTTCTTTTAATCTGCCAGCTAGATTGGAAACAGGAACTTTTTTTCTTTTTTTTCTTTTTTTTTTTTTTGGCATTACTTGGGTTTGAACACTTTCTAGGCAGGCACTCTACCCACTTGAGCCACGACACCAGCTCAACCTCTTTTTTTTAACAACTTATATACCTCTTTTTATCTCAAAGTCTCAACAATATCCACTCCCCTTTATCAATAAATTATAATAAATTCTTTGGTTCACAAGAGCTACTGAACAATAATTTGTTGACCACATACATAGTCCCTAACTCTGGGAAGTCCAAAAAATTAATTGAATCCCTAACTTT